ATCCGAATGCCTTTAGGGCTGATTCTGAGGCCAGAGTGCTATTCAGGACATCTGCCATTCTATGAGTCTGCTGAGCATCTCACTTCCCATGTTGGATCACTTTTGAGAGACAAAGAGCTTCCCTGCTGCTGCTTTGCTTCCCCAAATGCCTGCAAACCTGGAATGCACCCAATCCAGTTCTCCCACATGGGTGGCAGGGGCGCAATCACTTGAACTGTTATCTCCTGCCATCCAGGGTCCTCATTAGAAGGAATGGGAATTGGAAGCACAGCTGGTACTTGAACCAGTGCATTCTGGTAAGGGATGGTCATAGCTTAGCCGCCAGACCAATTGCCCATCTCTAAACTTATCTTCTAGTTCCATTTCTCTATGAAACTTTTCTTTTTTTTTTAACTTTTATTTAGTAAATATAAATTTCCAAAGTACAGTTTATGGATTACAATGGCTTTCTCCCCCGCATAGCTTCCCTCCCACTCGCACCCCTCCCATCTCCCACTCCCTCTCCCATTCCATTCACATCAAGATTCATTTTCAATTCTCTTTATATACAGAAGATTGATTCAGTATATATTAAGTAAAGATTTCAACAGTTTGCACCCACACAGAAACACAAAGTGTAAAATACTGTTTCAGTACTAGTTATAGCATTACTTCCCATTGACAACACATTAAGGACAGATTCCACATGAGGAGTAAATACACAGTGACTCCTGTTGTTGACTTAACAATTTGACACTCTTGTTTATGGCGTCAGTAATCTCCCTAGGCTCATGAATCTTTTCTTAAAAAAAGATTTATTTATTGTTTTGAAAGTCAGAATTACAGAGAGAGAGAGAGAGAGAAACACACAGAGAGAAACAGAGAGATCTTCCATACAATGAATTACTCTCCAAATGGTCGTCGCAAAAGCCAGAGCTGGGCCTGGCCGAAGCCAGGAGCCAGGGTCTCCCATGTTGGTGCAGGGGCCCAAGCACTGGAGCCACCCTCTGCTGCCTTCCCAGGCATATCCAAAGGAAGCTGAATTGAAAGTGGAGCAGCTGGCACTAGAACTGGCACCCATATGGGATGCCAGCACTGCAGATGGCAGCTTAGCCTGCTGCGCCACAGTGCTGGCCCTCATGGATCTCCGTTTAAAAATTTATTTGTTTATCTGAAAGAGTTACAAAGAGAGACAGAGAGAGCGAGAGAGATCGTCCATATGCTGGTTCACTCCCCAGATGGCCACGATGGCCAGGGCTGGTCCAGGCTGAAGCCAGGAGCTTTGTATGGGTCTCCCACATGAGTGACAGTTGCCCAGGTGCTTAGATCATCTTCCACTGCTTTTCCCAGGTCAGTAGCAGGGAGCTGGATCAGAAGTGGAGCAGTGGGAACATGAATCAGCACCCATCTGGGATGCTGGCATCCCAGGCAGTGACTTTACTCACTGTGCCACAATCTCCAACCCCTTTCCGTGAATTTTTTGAAGTGACCTTGTAAAATGTGAAAGAATCATAGGACCATTTATTTCCCCAATCTTAGGGCTGTAGCTTCTTGTAGTTTCCCAGATTTTTAAGCCCTATGGATTGTGTGTGTGTGTGTGTGTGTGTTTAAAGGGTTGAATTAAGCGTTTTAATATGTCTTGAAAGTTTGGGCTAACGGTAGATGGGAATTGTAGCTACCAAACATCAAAGAACATTGAAAGATTTCCAGATGGCATCATAACTTACATGGCATAAGATTGGAGGACCTGTTAGATTCCATGAATTAATTTCAGACCCAGACACTGGAAAATTTATATAAAAAAGACTGGCTAATTATAGTAATACATGTTTGCTAAGTGACATTAAGTGAATGAAGAAGCATATGTTAGTATTTTTGACGTGTTTGCAAGACTTATTCTCAGAATGTTGATATTTTAATTGTTTTTGCAGGTAGATTGTCAAGGCAGGGTATTCAGAAACCTGCTTCATGAGTATTATATAGTATTATATGTATTTGAAACATTAATATTAACCTTTCTCCCTTCACTTGTCTAGTCAGAGAAAAATCTTTTGAGTTTCTTTTTTTTAAATGTATTATTGTGTATAATTTTGTTGAATTCCAAAGAGTTATATCATGTGATCTTATTCATTTATTTAATGTAAAGGTGCAGAGAGGGGAGGAGAAAGAGAGAGGAAGAAAAGGAGGAGGAGGAAGGGGGGGAGAGGAGAGTTAAAAGGGTTGTTTAACTTGTGCCACTGTGCCTGCTGACACATTATTTTAAATGCTATGTCTTCCCAGTTACATCTTAAACAAGTGAGTATATTTTCTGTTTTGTAGATTTTTTTGCATATATATCCCTTTCTAGCAGCTTTAAATTTTAAAAGTAATTTTATCAGAGTGAATGTGCAAGTCAATTTCCTGAGCAGTGGAGTAACAGCTTTTAAAAAATTTTAATGCATCTCTAAAACTGAATATTTAACATATTCTATTTTCTGTGTGAGATAACATTGAGTTCTAATTGTGTTGGACTCTGTTCTAAGTACTAAGAAGAAAGCCATAAAAAATACAGATAAAATTCCCTAACTTCATGGAGCTTGTATTTTTGTGGGGGGAAAGAGACCATAAATGAAAAAGTAAATGGCAGGCAAAGTCTTCAGGCAAGACTTCAAGTGTCTTCTAGTGCCAACTGCACCTCCTAAGTAAAACACTGACAGAGTGTACTGGTTTTGAGATATCTAGGAGAGGGTGACTGGGCCAGACGTAGTTGGACACACTAAATCATCCTCTTGGAAAAGGGTCATCCTGCTGCTGTCCACTCATATAGAACATACTGGAATTTCAGAGGATCTCCTAGTTGAGCATGTAACAATGGCAACTTGTGCAGCCATGAGAATAGCTGCTAATGGAGAAAACATCTTGTAACTAGAGACCAGCTGTACTGATAGCACTTGCAGTCCTTGTGAGAATTCAAGTTTGTGTACCACCTCTTGCACTGCAAGTTCTGAGGCCCTTGGTCCCAGCTGTCTCTTGCAGTCCCCTCACAGATATGCACTAGGGTTTCAGTCAGTGACCAAAAGTATTTGTCTCTTTTCTGTCTGTTTTTCTGACATAGAAGGCTATTTAAACATAAGCCCATGCCTGGTGCTGTGGCTCACTTGGCTAATCCTCTGCCTGTGGTGCCCACACTCTGGGTTCTAGTCCCTGTTGGGGCGCTGGATTCTGTCCCGGTTGCTCCTCTTCCAGTCCAGCTCTCTGCTGTGGCCCAGGAGTGCAGTTGAGGATGGCCCAAGTGCTTGGGTCCCTGCACTTGCATGGGAGACCGGGAGGAGGCACCCGACTCCTGGCTTCGGATTGCCATATTAGGAGAGTGAACCAACAGAGGGAAGACCTTTCTCTCTGTCTCTATCTCACTGTCTGTAACTCTATCTGTCAAATAAAAAAAAAAAAAATAAGCCTTTACACCAGTGGCATGAATTAATGGGCCTGTCCCTATAAAAAATTAGATGAAAAAGTTGTTCATTGACCTCGTTAGCAAACATGTTCATACCTCCTCAGTCAGAATCAGTCAAAGTTACAGTCTGTAACTCTACTTGTCAAATAAATAAAAAAACAGAAAGAAAAAGAAAAATTCCTTCCCAAGTTTGTTACCAGACAGGGGAGTCCTGCTGGTGCTGGGGCCTGACCCTCTAATGCCATCACCTTTGGGGATTTCCGTGTACCATTTGGAGGGAGGGCACAAACATTTGGACCATAAAAACGAACCGCAGTCACAGTCTGGTCCTCTTGGGCTTCAGTATTTCCAATGGGAGTGCTTACCAGGAGGACTCTATCTCAATCTACTCGGTCCTTTTCTTCCATTGATGACAATAAGGGTTCTCTGATGTTACTTCTAGATTATATCCCAGCAGATCTCTCAGAACCCTGATGGTTTTGTTCATGAATCCATAATTTCTGTTTTCATTTTTTTTACCGTTCTTGAGCTCTATAGTAATTTATTACTGTTTAACAAAATCAGTGTCCATAAGACTAATAATAGGGCCAAAATGACACACTAGGTGAGTCTGAAAAAGCTTTGGACAGGAAGGAACATTGGAGGTAAGGCTTGAAGAACAGAAAAGGAAGACGATTCTTTCTTGACCATGGTATTGTGGAAGAATAAAAGGATCTGGTGTGTCCAGGCAATAGTAAGAAGTTTTATGTAGGTAGGAATGCATGAGGATAGTAGGAGATGACTCGGGAGGGGACTGTTGGAGCTGCTACCTCAGAATCACGTAAGGCATTTCCTGAACTGTTTTAGAGATGGAAGCACAGGAAGTCACTGGTGACCTTACTTAACATTCATGATTTTAAAGTCTCTCAAAATTCTATTTATTTTTATATTTATTGACACTAAAATAATTATATCCTCTTTCATTTGTGTTTCTTAAACTAGTTTCCTACCATCTGTTCTCTAGTTTTGTTTTGACAATACCTGAGTGACACAGCTCTGAATATATTATGATATTCTAAATTTTATAGAAAAGAAAAATGAGATATGGAGAGCTTACATGACCTACACAGCCACATGGCCATGTTTAGAGTTACTCAAGATATTCTTTTTTTTTTTTTTAAGATATTATTGATTTATTTGGAAGAGTTAGAGAGAGAGGGAAAGAGGGAGTGATCTTCCATCTGTTGATTACTCTTCAGATGGCCACAATAGCCAGTGCTGGGTAAAGCCAAAGCCAGGAGCAAGGAGCTTCATCTGGAGCATCTTCTATTTTAATTTGGTTTGTCTTCCACTGTTTTTCTCATACCATTAGTAGGGAGTTGGATTGGAAGTAGAGCAGCAAGGATTCAAACTGGTGCCCATATAGAATGCCGGTGTTGCAGGCTGGGGCCTGGTATGCCACAATACCAGCCCCAAGATCTTCTGGTTTTTAACTCTGTATCCTTGTTATATTTGTGTGTATGTATATTTGTATACTAATACAAATGTGTGTATATGCTTCATGTCTTTTTGTTTCCCTCAAATTATTGTGTTTTCCTTTTCTCCATAGGACTTGGCTTTTACCCTGCAAGAAAGACAGCAGTTGAATATTCATGGATTGTTGCCACCTAGCTTCATCAATCAGGAGATCCAGGTCCTTAGAGTAGTTAAGAATTTTGAGCGTCTGAACTCTGACTTTGACAGGTAACATATTCCTAAGAGTGATTTTTGTATTTTTCTTATGCAATTGTCTAGTTTGTTAATTTTTATGAAAAAGTTAAAAATATTTAATGCTTTGGAAAAGGTAATCTAATTAGAAGAAAGTTTGCCTATAAATACAATGAGTTTTTTTTTTTTTTTTAAGTTATCCCTTTTAGGAACATTTGAATGAATTAAAATTCTATTTTCTAAATTGTATCCTCAGAGACTATTTTTCTCTTACAAAATTATTTTTGTAAGGGTAAATTATCAGGAAATGACATACTAAAAGATCAAAACAGACGGAAATTATGTTTGGTCAGACTTTAAGCACATTGTAGGAGATAGCACACTTTTTCAGCCTTCAAGCTTTAGAATTCAGCTTTTGAGTTTGTACAAAAATTAAAATGACACTTTCCCCTACCTTTGGAATTAGGTAACTCTATGTTGGAGTTCTGTCTATCCCACCAGCAGTGGGTCCAGGAACAAATTGCTTTGACCACTGCCATGGGCTTTGTATCTGCTTTTGTGTCTGTCCCTTTTTATTAAGCTGCTAAACCTCTGTATATCTCAGCTTTAAAAATCTGTGGGTTTGGAAATAATAGTGATTTGAAAATATTACGGGAGTTAAAAGAGCTAGCTAACCCAGTACTTATTAAGTATTGGTATTAATCAGAGTACTCTAAAGGAAAAAACCAACAGTGATTGTGTCTGTGTGTGTTTATGTGTCTGTGCTTTACGCATCTAACATCTTCAGGTAGGCTGGCAAGTTGGAGATACAAGGAAGAGTTGCATTTTATGTTTAAGGGCAGTGTACTGGCAGGATTCCTTTTTGCTGGAAGGGAAATCAATCTTTGTTGTATTAAAGCCTTCACCTGATTGGATGAGGCCCACTCACATTATGGAAATGTCCATCTCATCAAAACCACCTTTGAATAAAAGTCCAGAATGTTATCTGATCAAATATTGTAACATCCTGTTACAGATTCTCCCACAATTGAAATCTGATCTCTGATGTGATAATATTAGGGATTGGGGCCTTGGTAGGTGATTAGGTTGTGAGCATGAAGCTCTCATGAATCAGATCACTGTTCTTCTAAGAGGAGCCCACGGAACTGTCTCCATTTTCTGTCACGTCTGTCTAATGAGAAGTCAGCCTTGGGCTAGAAGAGGGCCCTCACTCATGCTGGCCTCAGCCTTCAGAACTGTGAGAAATTTCTGCTGTTAATAAGGTACCAAGTTTATGGTATTTTGTTATTATAACCAAGGTGACCAAGACATTATCCCAACAAGTTAACAGAAAAAAAATTGGCCATCACAAATTTAAATATTGTCAACATGGTACCTTCTATAGTAGGAATGTTTGTGTGTACCCACCCAGATTCATATGTTGAAAGTAAGAAATGAGGAACTTTATAGGGTGATTAGATCATGAATGAGATTATTACCCTTATAAAAGGAATCTCACAGAGCTGCCTCGGCTATGTGAGGACACTGAATGTCTATGAGAAAGGAGTCCTTATCAGACACTGAATCTGCTAGTACCTTGTTTTTAGACTAACTTCCAGAACTGTAAGAAATAAATTCTATTCACTATAAGCTACCTAGGATATGATATTTTGTTATATTAACCCTAATGGACTGTGATGTCCCCCTTAAATAACTCTTTAAAATACCTGTAATCTCAGAATAAGAACAGTAACACAGTCAAAAGTCCACTTAATGTGATATAACTGTCCTGCATATAACCCAGATGTACTAACCCTATTTACAGAAGAGGATGTAAAATCCTTGGATGATGTTGTCTCTTTTCCTGGATATCCTTTAACTTAAGCACTATCATGTAAACTCGGTAATACTAAAATACTATGATAAAAAGTTGGTACTTTTATATTATCTGATACATTGATGAGAGGGAAGACAATCATGACATTTGTGCATGTGTACATGTGCACACACACACACACACAAGAAAAAAAGGAAGAAATACACCTGATAATTAACAATTTTATTTCTGTTATTGGTTATGTGGTTAAGGCTGTTTTTATAACTCCATTTTTCCACAACCCATTCCATATTCTCTTTGTTTTCAGCAAGCACCTCAGCTGGTTGTGGTTCTTTACCTGGTGGAGGTGATCAAATTTTTTATTCTAAATAATCTGATCCATTAGTAATTCTGCCCCAATTGGGTTAAAATTTCCATTAGCTTTATTCACAAGGCATGGTAAAAGGAATAGACACCCCGAGGGGTCTCTGGTATCCCAGAAATAGTCTTCCTCACTTCTGTTGCATGTAGTACTGCACATTGCCCTCGCTGGTCCTAGTCAATCCCTTCCAGACAGCACAATAACTCATTTATTTTTTTTTCTTTGATGATTTATTTCTTTTTTTAACTTTTATTTAGTAAATATAAATTTCCAAAGTACAGTTTATGGATTACAATGGCTTTCCCGCCCCTTTAATTTCCCTCCCACTCGCACCCCTCCCATCTCCCACTCCCTCTCCCATTCCATTCACATCAAGATTCATTTTCAATTCTCTTTATATACAGAAGATCGATTTAGTATATATTAAGTAAAGATTTCATCAGTTTGCACCCATACAGAAAGACAAAGTGTAAAATACTGTTTCAGTACTACTTATAGCATTACTTCACATTGGACAACACATGAAGGACAGATCCACATGAGAAGTAAGTACGCAGTGATTCCTGTTGTTGACTTAACAATTTGACACTCTTGTTTATGGCGTCAATAATCTCCCTAAGCTTTAGTCGTGAGTTGCCAAGGATATGGAAGCCTTTTGAGTTCACCGACTTCGATCTTATTCAACAGGGTCATAGTCAAAGTGGAAGTTCTCTCCTCCCTTCAGAGAAAGGTACCTCCTTCTTTGATGGCCCCATTTTTTCTACAGGGATCTCACTCACAGAGATCTTTCATTTAGTTCTTCTTTTTTTTTTTTTCCAGAGTGTCTTGGGTTTCCATGCCTAAAATATTCTCATGGGCTCTTCAGCCATATCAGAATGCCTTAAGGGCTGATTCTGAGGCCAGAGTGCTGTTTAGGACATCTGCCATTCCACGAGTCTGCTGTGTATCCCGCTTCCCATGTTGGATCGTTCTCTCCCTTTTTGATTCTATCAGTATTAGCAGACACTAGTCTTGTTTGTGTGATCCCTTTGACTCTTAGACCTATCAGTGTGATCAATTGTGAACTGAAATTGATCACTTGGACTAGTGAGATGGCATTGGTACATGCCACCTTGATGGGATTGTACTGGAATCCCCAGGCACGTTTCTAACTCCACCATTTGGGGCAAGTTCGATTGAGCATGTCCTAAATTGTACATCTCCCACCCTCTCTTATCCCCACTCTTATATTTAACAGGGATCACTTTTCCGTTAAAATTTAAACACCTAAGAATAATTGTGTGTTAATTACAGAGTTGAACCAATAGTACTAGAACAAAAAAAATGGATAAAGTATTACATTGTACATCAACAGTCAGGACAAGGGCTGATCAAGTCACTGTTTCTCATAGTGTCCATTTCACTTCAACAGGTTTCCCCTTTGGTGCTCAGTTAGTTGTCGCCAATCAGGGAGAACATATGATTTGTCCCTTTGGGACTTGCTTAATTCACTCAGAATAATGTTTTCCAGATTCCTCCATTTTGTTGCAAATGACCGGATTTCATTGTTTCTGACTGCTGTATAGTATTCCATAGAGTACATGTCCCATAATTTCTTTATCCAGTCTACTCTTGATGGGCATTTGGGTTGGTTCCAGGTCTTAGCTATTGTGAATTGAGCTGCAATAAACATTAATGTACAGACAGCTTTTTTGTTTGCCAGTTTCATTTCCTTTGGGTAAATTCCAAGGAGTGGTATGGCTGGGTTGAATGGTAGGGTTATATTCAGGTTTCTGAGGAATCTCCAGACTGACTTCCATAGTGGCTTAACCAGTTTGCATTCCCTCCAACAGTGGGTTAGTGTCCCTTTTTCCCCACATCCTCTCCAGCATCTCTTGTTGGTAGATTTCTGCATGTGAGCCATTCTAACCGGGGTGAGGTGAAACCTCATTGTGGTTTTGATTTGCATTTCCCTGATTGCTAGTGATCTTGAACATTTTTTCATGTGTCTGTTGGCCATTTGGATTTCCTCTTTTGAAAAATGTCTAATTGAGTTCCTTGACCCATCTCTTAAGTGGGTTGTTGGTTTTGTTTTTGTGGAGTTTCTTGATTTCTTTGTAGATTCTGTTTATTAATCCTTTATCGGTTGCAGAGTTTGCAAATATTTTTTCCCATTCTGTCGGTTGCCTCTTCACTTTCCTGACTGTTTCTTTCGCAGTACAGAAACCTCAATTTAATGCAATCCCAAATGTTAATTTTGGCTTTGACTGCCTGTGCTTCTGGGGTCTTTTCCAAGAAGTCTTTGCCGGTGCCAATATCTTGCAGGGTTTCTCCAATGTTCTCTAATGATATGATGGTGTCAGTTTGTAAATTTAAGTCTTTAATCCATGTTGAGTGAATTTTTGTGTAAGGTGAAAGGTAGGGGTCTTGCTTCATGATTCTGCACATGGAAATCCAATTTTCCCAGCACCATTTATTGAATAGACTGTCCTTACTCCAGGGATTGGGTTTGGATTCTTGATCAAATATAAGTTGGCTGTAGATGTTGATTGATTTCTGGTGTTTCTATTCTGTTCCATTGGTCTATCCATCTGTTTCTATACCAGTACCATGCTGTTTTGATAATAACTGCCCTGTAGTATGCCCTGAAATCTGGTATTGTGATGCCTCCTGCTTTGCTTTTGTTGTACAAGATTGCTTTAGCTATTCGAGGTCTCCTGTGTGTCCATATGAATTTCAGCATCATTTTTTCCATATCTGAGAAGAATGTCTTCAGTATATTGATTGATATTACATTGAATGTATAAATTGCTTTTGGGAGAATAGACATTTTGATGATGTTGATTCTTCCAATCCATGAGCATGGAAGATTTTTCCATT